AATAAATCAGACACAAAAGTTTAAACATCATACTGTGTCTGTTGTGTAAGAAACCCAAAAGGTAAATAAGGAGCATAATGATGGATAAATATTTGGAAGTAGGAAGAACATGTTCAAATAGGAAGGGGAATAAGAGACAGGAAGAAGGGAAGGGGGAGAGGAGGAAAAAATGGTAACAAAGCTTTTGTAAATAAAGAGGGGAAGAGAGTTTGAAGGGAGGGGAGGGGAATGGGAAAAAAAAGAAAAATCAAAATATGTATAGGTACAAATTCCTTATGATTGTGATCAATGTGTATGACAAATATGTACTAATAAAAAAGTTTACAAAAGGGTTACAAATGGGAGAGTCTCAATAATTCTAGTGAGATTTAGATGAGGCAAGTATAGTGCTAATTGACAGAATTAGTGAATACAAGAGGAGGAAATGATAGAATGGAAGGAGTCAGTTGTTCCTGGAAGTAACATTTGGGATAAGGTGAGATTTGATGACATTGCCAAGGGAGAAAAAGTACAGGAAAAAGAGTAGAGGTATGAGGACACGCATTTGTGGAGGATTTCCATTTAGTAGCAGGAGGACACAGGGAAGTCTAAGATGGAGCATTTAGGACAAAAAACCAGGAGTGTCTAGTAACCCAGATAATAGAGGAAGAGAGTTTTTAGGCAGAGAGGTGGTCAATTTTGGAAAATAAACCAGAGAAATGTAGTGGAAGATAACTAATAAGAGATAATTTCACTTTACAGTGGCAAATCATCATGAGCTTTTTGGAAAATGGTTTCAGAATAGAGATGTGGGTGGAAATCAGATTGTAGGGAAGTTTGATGAATGGAAATTGAGAGATGATAGATAGATAGATAGGCCAATCATGATGAAATGATAGCAGTGTATGGTAAAGCAAAGTTTTTAGAAGGGGAAAAGACTGGTTATAGACCAAGAGGAATGTTTCAATAGAGTAGGAAAAGCACAGAAGTTATGACTGATGGACCAGAATACTCAGTGATATAGGCAAGGATGGAATCAAGTGGATAAGTGGAAGGAATAACCATGGCAAAGAGAATTTATCTTAGCCTAAGATTGACGGAAAGAGTTTGTGATGTGAATTAGATTTCATATAGAGGAAGAATATTGGAGAAACTTGTATGTAATGGTCTAATCTTCTTAGGAAGTCTGTGGTAAGGAGATCAGTTTTGCTGACATAAATGACCAATTTATTCACTAGTAGGATATGTGTGGATCTTACTCCCTCTTATTTAGTAGCCAGAATGAAATTTTTGAAATATGTATTTTTCTTATTTTTAAGGATATTTCTTTTCTGTGTGATGTTAAATATGTAAAAGAAGAGACTAGAGAGAATGCAATTTGTCCCCCACATTTGGACCATGCATTACAATCCAAAGATGATCATGAGGAACATGATGGTGTCCTCATGCCTCAGAAGGTAAAACACTTGATAAGTAATCTTCTCTCCCTCTCTCTACTCTCTAAATAACTTCCCCCAAATAGATTGCTTACTGTCTTATTTCCTTAAGAAGCTATTTAGTGGGTGAAGATCAAAAATACCTTAAGCTGTTTTCCAAACCACAGTTGCCACTTTAGAAAAT